CCACAAGAGGGCCCTCTAGGCATTTTACAACTACCTGTATACTTGTTCAACTTCTGCTACCCCCCCTACACCCCCCCCCCCCCCCCCCCCCCCCCCACACACACACACACACATCTTCCTCCAGAGTTGGCAGAGTTGTTCAGAAGCGTCACTGAGGATGGTAACTTGCTTGTCGGACTTGTTGGCTTGTTATGTTAATTAAGACTGTTCATGATTCCAGGTATGTTTTGTGTGTTATTGTTATTTCACATTAAATGTCTGTTCTTGCACTTTGTGAAAAACACTGCTAAATAAATGTGTCATACTGTACTCCGAAGTTACTTATATGTTTTTTTTTCCTCTTCATCAGGCATTTTTTGACTGATGCGACCTATACTCTAGAGCGACGTTTAGTCCAGAAAATACAGTAAGTGTTTTTATTTACAAGTGTAGATATTTACAAGCTGGAAGGGAAGAAAAGGGACAAGGTGAATATAGTGTAGATACACAGGTTGCTTGAATTATGAATGTTAGTTTTGAAGATGATCTATTTCTTACAAATGCTTGTGTTGTACAAAGTAGATGGAGCCAGAGAACGAGGTCCTTGGTTTCCCAGGAGGAGAAGGTGGCCCAGAGAAGTCGAGTGGCGTTGGAGAGAGGATCAGGTTGGAGGTGCTCAGTGGTTTTCTGATCCAGGTCAATGTTTGATGATTGTAGGAACAAGATGATACCAGGGTGAAGTCAGAGGACAAGGAGGTCCTGGAAGACTCGGGGAAGCGGGACTTGGAAGTCACATAAGGTATGATAACATTCTAGCATTGGAAAATGTCTGACAGGAGCTTAAATAGTCTGAAGAGTAGTCTTCCAGTCCAGGTGCAGGTGTGGAGTGGTGGTTGATTATGATGAGAGACAGATGTGGAGAAAGTGATTGTGGCTGGAAACCTGGGAATCCCACACTGAGCCACATTTTTGGTATGGTAGTAGCTGAGACTGATTCCCAGGTGCACAAAATTTGTGTTTAAAACTTTGTCAATAAACTCTCTGTTAGCTAAATATATTATAAACCAACAGATGGATTTTAACCAAGATTTAATTTAATGGACACAATGCAACTGATTTAATTTAGAAGGTAACACAATTCAAGATGTAAGAGATGCAATTCACAATGCAAGAGCACAAACTCAGGCGTTGCGCCTCTTTGGCCACCACTGACCTTAGAAAACACAACAATGGCTACATCTCAGCCATTTTTATAGATATTGAGCTAAAATTAGGCGTGGAAATTGCCCACAGTTATTCACAAAACACATTCTAAGCTGTAACAAAGCATGTGAGATATATTTTTGTGAGATATTGTGCACGACGTTACCTTCAAGGTTTAACCAACTTGGCTATAACTGTGTCGTTTCTTCTCATAATATGTCGTAGTCTAAAACTTTGGCATGAAAAGAGATGGATAATGTGTGTTCCTTCAAGGAACTTAAACAAATTCTGAGAAACTGCCTTTTCATAATTACTTGAATTTAATCATGGTGAAAATTCTGCAAATCTTGGAATTCTTGAACACTTTTTCCATCATCAAAAATCCCCTTTCTGACACAAACTTGTGTCCATTAACAAATGGCACTTGTTTGAAATCTAAGCTTCTTGAAGGGATTTCTTACATTGATGATGACTAATCTTCAACAACACCGGGACTTTTTAGTTTTATGAACTGACTCAGAGTTTGTAAAAATCTTCTTTTAGGTCCACTGAGAGTTTTTTGGCATCTCAGAAATGTGATTTTTTACACAGAATCAAAGACAGTATAGAGATCTAAACAACAGGGGTTGTGAGAAAAGGTTCCACTTGTTACATTTTATGGGGGGTGCCATTTTGCTTCAAATTGTCAGGTCTTTATTCATTTTTTATTCAATGAAAATATAAAACTACCTAAAGTTGTTTTAAATTCTCATTTAATTGGTTAATTGCTGTAATTAAAACAAGAATGATGTTACAATCTATTAGAAAAAAATCATCAAATGTTTTCTTGTTCAGGTATGATTAAAACATCAGCGGAGCGTGTTTTCACTCTTGGCTCTTTGAGGCATCTGATAGAGACAAAATGTTCAAAAAAGGAAAACACCCACAAAAATAACAACCTTATTGAATTTGTGACAGCACACAAATGGAAATCATCTTTTGTGAAAGAGATGCAATGAAGAGATTCATAAAAGCCTTGTCGCAAAGCTGGGTCACAGCTTCAGCATAATGTGAAAGAATCACCTCATTCTCTCCCACTTGGCAGAGGGAGACAGACGGAATGGAGAGAGCGTGGTTCAGTTTGAAGAAGAAAAGCTCCTTTAAGGTCAACCCACCCTGCTTTGCTTTTAGCAAAAAGACAACAAATGACAGTGTTTTAGCTTTCTCCATCAGTGAAGATGACAGCACAAAAGATGTCTCGTGTGAAGAGGTCTTAACATTTCAGAATAAAAGACACAATTTGGAGCTGCTTATGCTTAACAACCTGCAAGTCCCAGACACTTATCAGTATTAAAGTCACCTTATTTACCCTGTTATAACTGCTCTTTATGAATAGTCCGACTAACTGTTGTAAACATAAAAAAAAAACAACTGAAAGTGACACTAGAGGATGACACTTTTTCTGGAGTCCCACGGGTCATGGGATTCTTGCAGGATTCCCATGGGATTCCAAAGTCAACTTTATTATTACTCATGTGATTGGTATGGAATAGGACGAAAAGTTAACGGGAGCAGACGGGAGCGGGAACCAACCAAAAGAACAAAAAAGAAATAAATACCGATGAACTGTTCCTGTTGCCATATATTTTGAAATCAAACTGCAAAACACAAAGTAATACAAAGAGGAATGGGTAGAAAATAAAATCAAATCCAATGTATTTTCTAAAAACTAAATGAAGAAAAAAAAATGGGAGCGGTACAGGAGCAGGAGTCATGTTACCAGGAGTATGACGGGACAGGAGTGAAAATCCACTCTCGTGTCATCCTCCAAGTCACACCGTTAATATCAATTTTTAAGTACATGTGGTGACATTTGTTAGCACAGCTTTGTCACCTGTTGATGCAGCTCTGATTATTACTCGCAACCAAAAGGCTTTTTTTTTTTTTGCCCACGTTTGTGTGTGTTCACGTGTCTGTTACCAACATATCTCAAGGACCACGGAAAAAATGTTAATGAAACTGGCCGTGGGAAATCAATCACTTTCCAAGCCTTCAGCATTCTATCAGTATTCCACATGCTCCAGATGTTTTACCTGCATCTGATTCTGCTCCGTGATTTATTGCAGCAGTGAATGCTCCCCACATCTTTCCCACAGCTGGAGCCGCTCTGCATGCCACACTGACTGCAGAGTGACTGATAAGCACAGAAAGTGCCCGTACTCTGACTTTATGCTGCATTCACTGCACAATAACACATAGTGTGTCACAATATAAACATGCATGCAGCATGTAGGTCTGAATCCAATCTGCTTTGAGCAATTAGACGTGGAAAGAACAAAAACAACAGGTATGTTAACTAGTTAAAGTATCACACAGGGTTCTCTTAAGGATTCATCAGCATCATCAGTCTTTCCTCTGATTGTCTCGCTCTCTCTCCTTTCCTCCATAGCTCAGTTTTATTTACATCACTCTGCATAATGCATAACAGCACGCACATCCCCCAAGGCTTTTTTTATTATGTAAACCATCACTTAAACTGTATCCATCCAAACAGAGGCAAGAGTCTGAGTGAAGTGATGGTTAAGAAGCCAGATTGCATGTCCACTCGTTCCCGAAAAGAACGAACAGCGTCTCTCAGCTCTAAACCAAACTGTTCAGGGAAGTCCTCTGTAGCAGAGTCAGCAAATGTGCACAGGAATACGTGAGACATCTGCTCTTTCTTTGAGTGGGAAAAAGAAATTCTCTTCTGCAGGGCATCACTGCTGAAGAAAACCAGCAGGGAGGGGTCCTTTCAACGAAAGCTCTAAGAATGAGTCACTAAACCTGAGGATATTGCACCCATCCTTGTCACTGCACATTAAAAATACAGCTGCATGCAGTAAAAAAAAATTGCCTATCAAACTATTGCATCTTTGGCCAGCACTGCTTGGAGAACAGAAGAGGTGATGCAGCCATCAGAGACTCACCCTTTGCTGCCTGCAGCCTTAGATTGAAAGGCATTGTTGCAGCTGCACGAATGAGTTAAAGGTCAGTTATTAACTGAGGAAGAGATCCAACCTTATCCAGCTGATATTGGTAACTTTAAACAAAATTAACAATCAGCCATGCCTGTATATTTATCAATGAAGATGCAGTAGCAACTGCTACAACAAGCAAAGTGCAGCCTATAATTTACTTTATACTCTTCTTTGCAATTTTAGGGTTATAATTGCAGAGTATGAAATCAAACGTTTTTTTTTATTGTAAATTATATCAAATGGTGCAGTTTGAAAGAATTTACTCCAGTTTTACATATCTGCAATTCTAAAATGTGGGTCCACAGTCAATACAAACAAAGCACATTTGTGTGCATATTCTACTCAACACATTTGAGCGTAAATAAGTTCCAAAACATCAAAACCATCACACGATTCCGTAGTATTTGGCCAATTTGCTTACAAAAGTTTAATCTAAAGACACTTTAACCATCTTTTATGTGGAAAACAAACTGTGTGGATTTTGTTTCATTGTGTTTGTTTTTTTAACATTGAAAAGAGTTGGGTTAGCAGCTACTGTTGCATTTTGTTAAATGAGAAATACATATTGAGCAAATTTGGAAAAATTCTGATGTCTGTTGACCCTGAACTCCACAAATCAGAATCATGCAGGAGAAAAACATGTGCGTCAGCTACAATGCATTTAAAACAAACTGGTTGCAGGTGAACAACAATTGAAATAACAGTGATGCTCCAATGAACATATGTGGACTTAAACTGTGCATGTGTGCTGCACGTGCAGGAATGTGGGAACTGTTTACACAGTGGATAAACACCCTGTTGCACTCGTTGTTTTCAACTCACCACTTGCATTCTTGCCACAGATCAGGTGTTGCCAGGGCTGCAGGGACCCCCATATCTCTGCGTCCCCGCTGACCGCCTGCTCCAAGGTCTCCACCGTCAACTTGGGGATCCCGTTGTCTGGCTCCAGCAGCGCACTGCGCAGCACCCGCGCGTATACCTCGCGGAACAGGCTCTCCATGCACGCGGCCAGGTAGATGGCCGCGTGCTCGTGGATCCTGACCGCCACCCTGCTGTCCACCATCCACCTGAAGAACTTCCCCACGTTGAAGACGAGTCCGCAGCGCGCCGACTTGCCGCGGCTGAACTTCTCCTCCTCCGTGCTCATGTTGTACAGGGACAAGGCGCTGACGGCCGCGCCGACGCAGCGCACCGACACGCTCCACGACAGGACGACCTTCGTGGCGCTTTGGACCTCGTTCCGGGTGCATTTGGCGTAGCGCAAGCTCAGGCGCTGCGCCTCCTTGGCCACCCGGACCAGGACGCGGCTGACCAGCACCGAGAGCCGGAGCAGGACGTCCTGCGGGGGGGTCGGCAGGCTCACCTCGTCGTCCCTGCTCAGTGCGCTCGCCGCTTCCCCGAGGCTCCACGGCACATCCTCAAGCTCGGGTAGTTTCGCGCACTGCCCGCTGCACTCCAGGATCTCGGCGTCTTCGACCAGGACCGTGTTGACCGTGTCCAGACTGTTGTGGCGACTGTGCATGGAGTCGGTTAGTTGCCAGTAATTCGCCCCATGCGCCTCTGAGCAGCACAGAGACGCGCTGGAAGATCTGAAGGAGTCCGCGGCTCCACCATAACCCGAATCCAGCGTCAAATCCTCCAGGGTCCGCGCGACTGACTTGCTACTCCGAGCCATAACTGCACTTCATACTGCAAGAGAGAGCTCAGAGGGGGGTGAAAGTGGAGAAAATGTTTAAAGAGAAAGAAATCTGCTCACTAAGTTTGTCTTTTTCCCCGAAGAAGTCTCCATCCGAGCCTGACGCACAAAGTTGGATTGCAGTATTTTTTTTTTTTTTTTTTTTTACTTCAGTGCATCAACAGTCTCACAGAGCAACGCAGTCCTGACAGATGGAGGAGGGGCCCTGGAGACCCGAGAGCAGCTGGCAGCCAATGGACTCTCGGGAAGAAACAGAATCACTTTAATTGGATCACTATAAACGATCAATAAAGGCGCCTCATTGATGTAGCTGCGTGATAAAAAAATAAAAAAAGTCAAGAACTAAAAATGTTTGTCCTTTGCAATTTGGGGGAGAATCTCCAAACCTTTGCAGAAACATATCCAAATAATGATCAGATGTCATAATTCCAGTGAATAAAATAACAAATGATGCAGCAGATCCCTGACCCTGCCTGTGTCAAAGACCATGAGAGTATCAGGCTTTTCAGATATATTGGAAAGGGCCAGATCGTAACATGACTCAAGAGCATCAATAATAGATTGCATGCATAATGTATCCTTGTTGCTCTGCAGGAGAACTCATTGAAAAGATCTGAATTACTACCAAGGACATTTGCTGGATAACTCAACTGACTTCATGTTTCCTCTGCAGAGCCACAAAGTTCAGAGGAGTGAGGGGGGTCCAGTTTAACTGCACATGACTAATGATTCATTCTTAGTGCAGATAAATGTAAATTGTTTAGGTCGAGAGCAAAAATAAAACTATAAAATCTTTGTTTCCACTGCAGATAAGAGTATAGCTGCATTTGGCAACAGCTTATCTGGTGCAACAGTGATCCCTGGTGCTGTGCAGGAAAACGTCACTTTGACAGATTTGTCTTTTTTGGGACTCACTCACCAGATTACAGCCTGGGTGTCAAATTCATCCCTGGGAGCTGGGATGGAGGCACCAAACGTGAAATCACGTGGGGTTTTCAGGATATTTTGCACGTTTCCTTTATTTTAAAGCAAAGCAAACCCAAGTTATAATGTTTTAATTTACGACATTGTGTCAAGGTCAAGGTTTCTTTATTGTCCTTCTCATCACATGGGGTACATGTGATGGAACGAAATTGTGTACACAGCGTGAGAATTATAGTGAAACTCTGTCAATCAGGCAGCTTTTGTCCAAAGGTCTTAAACTGCCTCACTCTTAACTCACCAATTCTTTTTTTATATGGTGATTAAGTGAAAATAAAACGTTATTCTTTAGTTTAATAATATATTTTAAACACGTTGCTGTTTGTGAGGCCTAAATTTGTGGGATAATGATGTTGGATACAAACTCAAAGCCATACAATATTGATTCATTTACTTTCTCGTGTTTTATATTTCTAATACTTTTTAACATTTGACTGTCGGTGTGATTTTTTTTTTTTAACAGTTAACATCATGCATGCACAGTGAGCTAAGTCACAACTAAAACTTTGTTGAACATTAGAAGCGGTGGTGGGATGTAACTAAGTACAAATACTTCGTTACTGTACTTAAGTACATTTTTCATGTATCTGTACTTTGCCTAAGTAGAGTTAAATGTGGGTACTTTATACTTTTACTACACTACATTTTACATCAAGTATCTGTACTTTCTACTACACTACATTTCTATAATGTGTTGCATTACAAGTTACATTCATGTTGCGGCTTTTTGATTTGTTTGTTACTTTGAAAGTAACCAGTGGTGAGAGGGGAGCTGGTCCATTGAATCACTGCAGAGTGGGCAGGTAACGTTAGGCCCACCTTCAAGAAGAGCTGGGCTAATGACATACAGTATGTCACTGAGCTGGGAGCACCCACAGCACCACTAGCACACCCAAAATGTATTCCACTGCAAGAGAGTCATCCAGAAGATACACGCCACCCATGGCCTTATTGAAAGACTGCCCAGTACAGCAGGACAGATTCTCTCTCCCAAAAGAGCCAGACTGGACTCAAAAAAACTTTGAAAACTAACTTCTTCTGAACTTGAACAAGAAATTCTTGCTGCAATATTAAAATGTGTCACTTCATGATGTTAGGAGACAAGAGATGTCTCCAAATGGCTCGACACTCAGGTCCAAGTTTTAAAAATGGTGTCAGGAAGTTAAAATATTGTTCAATATTGACCCATTACAAGGTTGAATAGACATCATTTTAACTAGAGTTGATGACAAACTGGAGTTGAAATGATCAGAGCCTGTTCCTGTGTTAGTTGTGTCTAATGCTCCTTTTGTTCAGGCAGACAACTTTTACTTAAATGTGTTTGCTGCAGTTAAAATGACACATTGGTTTTGATTTGTGTTAAATAAAAACTTTCAAAGGTATAATCATTCCTCTTTCTTATTTTGATTAATGACATTTAACTCTGCAGGTCATCCCTGAAATTCTGACGCACAGAATCACAAGTCCAAGTGTGAACTGTGTCACAGAGTAAACACAATAAAAACATGTATTATCTGCAGCATTGTTCAGTAAAATGGCTCAACACTATTAATGTATTACAGAAAATATACATATGGTACGCAGACTTAAAGATATTGTAGACCATTACATTAGGTAATACATTCAGCAAGTACTTTTACTTTTAATACTTTAAGTATTTTAAAAGCAAGTACTTATTTACTTTTACTTGAGTAAAAATGTTAATGTGGTACTTCTACTTTTACTTGAGTACATTTTTGTCTGTTTATTTGTACTTTTACTTAAATACAGTGTTTGAGTACTTTCTCCACCACTGATTAGAAGTCATTTTAGTTATGTTTATAGTGCAAAGCACTTTGAGTATCTTCATAAGATACAAAGGCACTATATATATATATATATATATATATATATATATATATATATATATGTCTATTTACATTAAAAATAAAACTGTGTAAGTGACAGCGAGAAAATTTATACAAACCATTAGAAAAACAACTGAAAGGGCATTAATGTTCTTAAACAAAATTGACTATTTGTGTTTTTTGTCTTAACCACTTTTAAAATGAAGTCTGATGTCTTTGTTTATTTTTTTATTACTCTTTGATTTCTTGATAAAAGTAATTTGATAGAGGTTAACTGGTTTGATGTTTTATTTAAACCTTATCTCAAAGCTAAACAGCATCAGTTTTTTTCTTTATTATTATTTTAGCTCATTATGTATTTTTCCACTGAACAAACTATAATATAATAGTAATATAAAACGTTATCGTCATTCAAAACTGTACAGTGCACCATGCAAAACTGAATTACATTTCATTTCATTCCTCCACAGCAGAGGAGTACATAATTTACATGAATTGTAAAGACTTTGGTGTTTAGGAATGTCTGTGGCTGTGTGTGTGTCTGTGGTCACTTCATTAGTGACCTGAGTTCAGCAGTCTAATAACTCATGATGTAACTGTTCAGAACATGGTGGTTCTGGTCTTCATGTTGTGGTACCTCCTGTCAGAGGCCAACAGTAAACCATCCATGTTGAGGGTGTGAGTTGTCTCTCTTGATTTTAATGGCTCTGGTTTGACTTGGTCTGAGACAATGTCCTAGATGGATGGGAGGGGTGTCCTAATGATCTTCTCTGCCGTTCTCGCCACCCTCCTCCAATTCTTCCTGTAGCCCGGCAGCTTTTTTCCCAAACTGAGATGCAGCTGGTCGAGATGCTCTCGATGTTTCCTCTGTAGAATGTGATGAGGACATGGGGTGAGAGGTGTGCTCTCTTCAGCCTACAGAGGAAGTACAGACGCTGCTGGACTTTCTTCACTAGGGATGCAGTGTTTCTTGACCATGACAGTTGATGGTTATGTGTGTACCCCCATAGCCTGGTGCTCTCCACCATCTCCACTTCTGTGTTGTTTATGAGCAGCGGCATCTGATGTTTTGTTTTGTTTGTATAATTGTAATGAATAAAGCGCATTTAACACATTTCAATGTGTTTCTGCCTATTGGATGAATGCCTAAAGAGACTAGTACAGGCCAATTAAAACAGATGGCCAGTAATTGATCAGCCACTTATTTTGTCTATTTCTAGATTTTTAATTATTTTATTTTCCTGAATATTATACTTGCCCTATTGTTTATTGTATTTACAAATATTTAGCTATGTGTTTATAATGTACAGCTATTTATTAGATGAATATATTTGTTTGACAACCTCTTCATCAGGCTCACATTGCAGGTCCAACTTAATTTACTGTTCGTTTTTCGTGTAGAAGGGTGTATAGGTTTTAATTTAAAAAAACGTTTAGAAAGACTAATTATAAAATTATTATTTGACAATACTGCCACCTAGTGGTAATCCTAGGCAACACTTAACACTGTCTCGTTTTTCGTTTTTTTTTTTTTTTTGCTTTGAGTTCCGAACGAGTTTTCAAAATTTAATTCCATCCATCCATCCATCCATCCATTATCTTTACCCGCTTCTTCCTTTTATTAAGGTTAAAACGATTTAAAAAGAAAAACATTGCATGATTGGTACAAGTAACTATATTTATTCGCCTGCTTGATGTCAGAAACACTGTCATTAAAAAAAAATAATAATAAAATAAAAAAAAGCAGATGACCAGCACGAACTGTCGCAGTAGATCTGGTATCACAACAATTTTACGTAAAGCATCGTGGGGTCACATTGGTTTCAGATTATCGCTTTTATGGTTGGGCGGGGACAAGTTGTGAAACAGCAAACGGAGCGAGCTCCCAGGTAGCGGTACGCCCCGCACGTCAAATCAAACCCACCAATTTTCAACCGAGTTGCACCGCGAGGCACGTGAACATCCGGGTACTCAGTCTGCGTAATTCTACCTAAAACCTGCGGATTAGCAGCTGTAAAATTAAACTTTCATCCCTTTTTTTAAAGGTTTTCTACCCAGCAGTGAATTTCTCCACAAGTCGAAGCGAAAATGTAACCGAAATCCTCGAGTTTGAGAGATGTAAAACGGAAATAGAGGTCGAATAAGCAGACATAATAATAAAAGCACGTTTCGGAAACGTGACGGGAGACACCATTATACAACGGCTGACCAATCGGAGCACCGCGTTCCTTCGTGCGTGTTCGTGAGGGCGGAGATGTTGACGGGGACATCTTGCGTGGTCGTGTTGTCAGCGTGGTCAAACATGCCGTTTTTACCGTTTGACTGAGTTCTGTTTAAGCTGGTGAATATTAATCGTAGAGACAGTAGTAGCGCTGTTTGGTTGAGTTTTATTAGCAGTCTCGTGTCCCAGGATGTAAAATAAACCCCTTTCGCGTCGCTGCTGCTTGAAATTTTGCGTTGTTGCTCGTTTTTTGGGGGGTAAACGTTTTCACTTCATCGCTGCCTTGACCAGATTTCACAGAACTTCAAATGGAGCTCGGACAAACCTTCGACACCGCCTGAAAAGAGCTGAGCTGCGTGACTTTCTGTTTGACAACCCCGGAGACTGTTGTTGTTGTTTTGGAGAGGGGGGGATCCCGCCTTCTTTTTGCCATTTTACACATTAAGAACAGACGACGACATCATGGTGGTCAACACCATCCACTGGTTCAGGAAGGGACTACGGCTGCACGACAACCCAGCCCTGAGGGACTCCATCCGGGGAGCAGACACCCTGCGCTGCGTCTACATCCTGGACCCCTGGTTCGCAGGCTCCTCCAGTGTGGGCATCAACAGATGGAGGTAGGAGTTTTCAGACAATGTTTTGCTTCTGGACTTCAGACCCAAATCTAGCTTAATGTAATAAAACAATTCAGTCATTAGGTTCAGCAGTTCTGTATTTGTAGCCAGAAATGAGTTTGGCCTGAACAAAAATGGATGGACAAAATGGTCATTTAAAGGATACCATACAATACCACTTTATTTATAACGCACTTAAAACAGCTACAAGGCCAACCAAAGTGTTGTACAACAAAAGCAAAGGACATAGCAAAAATACATAGATCACACAGAGGTAATGATAAGAACTAAGTGACTAACATAGAATGCAGACAAGTTAAAATCAACTCACACCATGTCAAAAGCCAGGGAGAGTTTTCAAAGGAGATTTAAAAATGTAAGCGAGGGAGCCTGTCTGACATGATGTAGTGCTAAGTCATTCTACAGTCTGGGACCTGCAACAGAGAAGAACCTGTCACCTTTGAGCTTAAAATGGGTTCCTGGAACCAATAAAAGCATCTGGTCTGCTGAGCTCAGAGCGTGCTGTGGGACATATGGCTGCAGCAGATCAGCGAGATAGGAGGGGGCAGAACTGTTCAGAGATCAAAGGCACATTCACACCAGCCCTGTTTAGTCTACTTTAATCGAACTCTAGTCCGTTGGCCTAGAAAGTCTGGTTCGTTTGGGGAGATGTGAATGTACAATTGAACTCATGCACACCAAAAGAGCGAACTCTGGTCCACCTAAAAACCTAGTTCTCGGTTCACTTGAGATGAACTCTAGCGCGGTTCGAGTGCATTGTGAATGCAAGCAGACTGGAGACCGCTCCAAAAGCAGGAAGTGGACTACAGCGAAGGGCATTCTGTGTAAATACAACCAAAACAAATGTGCATTTCTCTTCCGTCATACGGAGCCGTCTCAGCCGCCTTGTGTAAAAAACAATATTCTCCATGGTCTTCTGCCTCATCTTCTGCTCATGCTGAGTCCATTGTTGAAAAATGTTTGTTCGGCACATGAGCCACAGACAAAACAGAAATCCTAAAAACGCTAAAATTTGACGCCACTCCATTTTTGTTTTTATTTCCGGAGGTAAGTTGCGCTCAGTGTCTTCTTCAGAGGTTTTTGTGTCGTTTCCGTCAGTATTTCTTGGTGCAGCGCCACCACAGGCGGGGGGAGGGGGGACAGGTTGGCCCGACTGACAGTGCAGTGAGAATGTGAACCACACCAACTTGAAATGTAAACAAATGTTCTGAATTTTGGTCCTCAATTGAACCGTGTCTACTGGACTATCAGGTGAAAACGACCTTAAAAACATACAGAAGGATTTTAGAATGAATTTGAAAGTGAAGCGGGATTCAGTAAAGGGAGGCCAAAACTGGTGTAATGTGCACTCTTTTGCTTGCACCAGTTAAAAATGGGGCTGTAGCATTTTGAACCAGTTGTAAACTGGATGTAAAGTTGGAAAGGATGTCTGTTTTGTGTACTGAATAACTATTTACCTCGGCAGTCTTTATCAAACTAACTGGATGGAGAAATAGACTAAAACAGCTTCAGACACTTAAAACATCAAATGCAAACAGTTTATATTTGTTCTGTTACGTATAGTCTTAGTTCACATGGTTCATAGCTCAAAGAAAATGTAAGCTTCACAAGCAACACAAATTTAGCCCTTTTTATTTCAAATACTTATAGACTTTTTAGATGTCGTTTTTGTTTCATTAAATTATTTAACAGTATTCAGTTTAAGTAGGAGCGAAAAGAAAGAACAATAAAGGAAAATATTGGGTATTTGATTGGATGAGGCTTGATATAAAGTGCCACACAGCTGGTCTCAGGTCTGCTCTACCATGCCCATCAGTCAGTCCAAGTGCTTATTTGCACCTGAACAATTGGAATAAGTGCAACTGCTGAAACATCCCCTTTATTAAGGTCTTAGTGCATGATTTCACTCTTTTGCTAATCACTGACAATTAAAACAGCCTGGTAAAATGGCCCTGCTGTTTTCTAACTGTTACATTCCTTTGAACAAACTTCTTTATTAAAGAACAACCAAAAAAAAAAGGTTACGGTTGGCAAATAAACAAGCCCTACCTTCATACCTACCTAATCCTGGTCAAATTTGGGCTAAATATAAAAGTTTCATCAGCATGTAAAATGGTAAATGGACTGTACTTCTATAGCGCTTTCTATCTTATCAAGAGCATGTTTCTTTTATTCATATAAAACCTTTGAGTCAAACAAATGCATACTTTGTAAAGTGTTTACTCAGATTAAAAGATCAGCTACCTTTCTGATGTTGACATTTTATTTTGCGCAATTGTACTAAATTCATGTCACAAGTTGTTCATTTAGATTGTTGATCCCTGTATTCCCAGGTTTTTGCTGCAGTGTTTAGAGGATCTGGATGCAAGTCTGCGCAAACTCAACTCCCGTTTGTTTGTCATCAGAGGCCAGCCGACAGATGTCTTCCCTCGTCTTTTTAAGGTACAAGAGCTGAAGTAAAAAAAAACTGATTAAAAATAGGTGAAACGGAGCAGATTCGTTGAGGCTGAATAGAAACCTTTTCTCTCAGGGTATTACCAACAATTTGTATAACACTACATGTCTATCAATGACTGTGTTTCTTCCTTTGTTGTTCAGGAGTGGCAGATTACACGTTTATCTTATGAATATGACTCTGAGCCATTTGGTAAGGAGCGTGACGCTGCCATCCAAAAACTTGCCAGTGAGGCGGGTGTAGAGGTGATGGTTCGGATTTCACACACACTCTATGACCTGGAAAAGTGAGTTACTGTAGAATTTAAAGTTTGAACGTTTAAAACTGATTATTTCATATACTGTGTGCTTGCTTGTGCAGGCTTCAATTGAATGCATCTTTTTCTCCTTAAAGGATTATAGAATTCAACGGAGGTCAGTCCCCCCTCACGTACAAGCGTTTCCAGGCACTTATCAACCGAATGGATGCTGTGGAGCCCCCAGCAGAGACAATCACATCTGAAATCATTAAAAACTGCATCACTCCCATCCAAAATAACCATGACGACAAGTTTGGAGTTCCTTCCTTGAAAGAGCTTGGTGAGCATTTCCTTTATTTTTGAGTTTCACATGTAAAAGCACTGCTTCCTGACTACACAGTTCTCTGAGAAGGAAAGAAAATGTCAATAAAAATAAAACTTTAGCTTGTGGTCAATGATAGATTGCCATCTTTGTGTTCATAAATAAATAAATAAATAAATAGTTTAGATTTAACTTTTCCTGAAGATTTTTTTAGAGGAATTGTTCCACAGGAAGGAGGTCTTATGAAACAAAAGTTTTATTACTGTAAAGCGTCTTTATTTTTTTAATCACTGAAATTAAAATAGTGCTTTGAGTGCACAAATCTGCAGGATAATGTCTGTGTTCATACTAATCCACATCCCTCTACTTAAAATAATTTTAACCTTTAAATCAATGTGTTGCTTTTTTAGAACCTAGCATCATATCCGTATGGAAATTTACTACTTATTGGTGTGAATATTTTTTGGCCCTTTTATTTAACGTGAATGCTTCTAAAACAACCATTGTTGAATTAGACTAAAACCTGTCTAAAGAATCTTAAGCATATTATTTGACAACATACACAAGATCACCCATGTTTTGCTTGAAAATCATATTCTCGCGTTACATTTTTATTGTTATTTCTGTTATATGCATTCTCGTTTAGGTGATTATCCAGCATCGTGACAGGCTTAGTTAGATCTGGTTTTAGAATTTAGCTATATAAGAAAATATTTTACTGATCTGTTGATCACACTTCATTTCACTGGCCCCGTGGTGGGTGCACTTTTGTCAATGTTAGCTATCATGGCTCAGTGTCAAGGTCAGGGGGTAACACTGTTTATCTGACAGGTTTTGAGACAGACGGACTCATCACAGCAGCGTGGCCAGGTGGAGAAACAGAAGCTCTCGTGAGACTGGAGCGACATCTGGAGAGGAAGGTAAAATTTACTGCTGTGTGTAAACACAAAATAAAATCTGAATGCTGTCATTACATCCAGCTTTTATGATACTAACGACATCGCTTATGTTACGGTTTTACAAATGTGGGTAATGGGTGTAATTATTATTATCAGACTCTGATAGTGTTTATTCAGAATAAACACTTTTATTATCCACACTGGCATGAACATCCTGCTTTCAACAAATGATGTACGTGCATGTGAGACATGTCCATTGTGGTTTCCTGCAAGACATGACTTGTACCATAATACCATATGTTAATATTAGTGTTATTATTGTAATATTGCATTATTTCTTAATTAATGCAGTAACATAATCATTTGTATTTCCTCCTGTTTTTGCTAACTTGTGCTTTTAGAGCTCACATTTATCAGAGCAAGAAAACAATTAATGGTTATAAGAAAACACTTAAGATGAGCTGTAAAATTTCTCAACTGAAAAACTTGCATCAAACCTCAAGGCGTGTGTATACTAATTTAGTGTACGTATAGTTTTCTTTTTTTTTGTCGTTTGTGTCTCCTGCTGCTTACTACGGTGCAACAGCTTCATTATTGTCGTTGTTTTAACTTCTTTAAGCCTCAGCTTCTGACTGACGGTTATTAAAAACAAAATTAATAATCTTTTTGCAGGCATGGGTGGCAAACTTTGAGCGTCCACGTATGAACGCCAACTCCCTGCTGGCCAGTCCGACGGGCCTCAGCCCTTATTTACGCTTTGGATGTCTCTCCTGCCGTCTCTTCTACTTCAGACTTACCGATCTTTATAGCAAGGTAAAAAAAAAAAAGACCTTCTTAAACCAAATTGTAACAATGTTTTTAGGACAAAATATATATATTTTTACCATTTCTATTGTTTTTGTTCATGTGAGATGCATATTTCAAATAAGTAATTTATAACCTTTATCATGGCTACAAAGCTGTTTTTAATAAAATTTAAAAATCTCTGAACCAAATGAGTTTGTACTGCAAATGATAAAACTATTCTCAAATTCTGTATTCATCATTTGCATCAGGTCAAGAAGAACGGCTCCCCGCCACTGTCTCTGTACGGCCAGCTGTTGTGGAGGGAATTCTTCTATACAACAGCCACCAACAATTCCTGCTTTGACAAGATGGAGGGGAACCCTGTGTGTGTCCAGATCCCCTGGGACCGAAACCCCGAGGCGCTGGCCAAGTGGGCGGAGGGCCTGACGGGTTACCCATGGATCGATGCCATTATGACCCAGCTGAGGCAGGAGGGCTGGATCCATCATTTGGCTCGGCACGCTGTGGCTTGTTTTCTCACCAGGGGAGACCTCTGGATCAGCTGGGAAGAAGGCATGAAGGTGAGAATAAAGAAACTGCAGAAAGCATGCCGTTCTGTTGCTTTGTCCGAGTCTTTACTCTGGACTTTATGGTGATGTTATGCAGGTTTTTGAAGAGTTGTTGCTGGATGCAGACTGGAGTGTAAATGCTGGCAGCTGGATGTGGCTCTCCTGCAGTTCATTCTTCCAGCAGTTTTTTCACTGCTACTGCCCTGTGGGCTTTGGCCGACGCACAGACCCCAGTGGAGACTACATACGGTCAGTCACTGCTTTTATGTGCCTCACGTGATTTTTTGATTTTTTTAAAGGACGTTGTAGAATTTGAGGAACTGTTTGTGTTTCCCACAGTCTATGAAATGGGAAAATACAAACTTATGGTTCACTTGTACTTTAAGGCCTCACAATGGGAAGGAATTTACCGTGGTTTCATTGGAGTAAAAATAATATAAAGTTATTTATGATGTTTCATTATTAATGCCACATTCATAAAAATGTGGTCCGGCTCACAGTGTAGAAGTAAAAGTAAATATACTGGGATAACCAAATTGTTGATGTGATAAGTGTTCTCAGATTTTGCGGTTTACATTTCTTTTTTTGTTTGTTTTACCAGGCGTTATTTACCTGCACTGAGGGCTTTTCCTGCCAAATACATTTATGATCCTTGGAACGCCCCCCAGGAAGTGCAGAAGGCGTCCAAGTGTATCATAGGAACCCACTACCCTAAACCCATGGTGAACCACGCTGAGGTCAGCCGCATCAACGTCGAGAGGATGAAGCAGATTTACCAGCAGCTTTCCTGCCACAGAGGACTGGGTAAATCACCCACATGCTAATCAAGTGTTACATAACCTGATAGTGGGTAATTGGTTTAAAGAAATCTTCTAGAAAGTAAATGTGAATTAAAGGGCAATAAAGGTTAATAGTTATTTAACAGACAAAAAATTTATCCAAGTTCTTCTTAAGACATGTTTGTGTCAGCTGCTTCAAATTAAACCACAATCTTTTTAACAGCTGAAGACTGAATGATTGATTGATTGATTGTGCTTTAGTTTTACAGCTTTGGATTCTGTGGCGTTTCAAACCCTGTGGAGAGAAAATTGTAGTGAATCATGTCTTCAATAATTAGTATTCATATTATCATTAGTGTAACTGACAGACTTTCGTGTTGATGTGGGTCTTTCTTTGTTTCAGAGTTAAAGAAGCATTTGAACATTTAACAGCCGCATTTTAATTTTTTTATTTTTACCACTTTTGTTACCCTTGCAGGCCTGCTTGCAACAGTACCAGTAAATGTCAGCAGCAGTGTGAGCGTCAGTAAAGTTGGAGAAGGCACCACAGGTCCAGGTCAAAGAGGATCCTCTGAAGACTTCTCCATGAAGGAGGGGACATCTCAAACAGGTATATGTAGACATCAGCAGAGTTAAATTGTGAATTGTTAAGATTATGTTCGTTACGTTAATGAAAAATAATCACGCTCTTAGCTTCATCTGCTACTTTTGAGACTTGGACTGTGTCCAGCATTATATCTACAAAGTGACCTGCAAGAGCTCTGAGCTGTTTACAAAGGCATAAGAAATGTTTTGCTTTATTACAACACATCACTAACTGCTGTTTTGGTGCTAAACACAGATATAAAACAATAATGTGCCGTAAACCTGGTTTCTACACTGCAAAAGAAATGATAACCTTTTTCTATTGTTCTAACAAGGTGAAAGCTGTTGGGAGTGCACGAGTCTCATTAGTGTTGTTTCATTGCAGAAAGAAGGCGGTCCACTCAAAAGCGTCATCACGAAGACACCGTACCTGAAAGCGGCTTTAAATTCTGGAAGCAAAGTGAATAGAGAGGTCAAAGGAGAATACCAAGGGTCCCTCGGTGGGTTTGTGTTGTGACCAGAGTCTTCTGCGAACAACCTTCAACCTGGGAAACCATGTGGGACAAGATGAGTTGGTTCTACACAGTACTTTTGACTTTTCTGTCAAGTTGTTGGGGCTAAAAGAGCAAAACCTCAACTTGATAGTTTTATGGGTTTAATACAAAGGAAAAGAGGTGGGGGTAAGTTTTGTCTCTGAGACATAATGATCACATCAGGTGTAAAGTTAAGCATGCATCATGAATTGATAGTTTGGTGTAATGATGATGGTGAGTCTGTATGACAATCAGCAGGCTGCAAGGTTCAGAATGAAAGATGTCTGACATATTTTACAAGTAGTGTTCTGTGTCAACGTGGCTGACGTCAGAGAAAAAAAAAATCCTGCAAACAGAATAAAGAAGTAGAAACAGCCAGTTTTTATTCTTTTGATCAGTGTGATGTGAAACAACTTGTTGTCTTCCACTTCAGAGTGTATTTCCACTTTGCAGTGTTCTTTTCCTTATAATCCCATGTCAGAGTGTCATTTAATTATAATCTGGACATAAATACACTGAAATAGAAATACATTGGAATAACAGCAGATGGTGTTAGGTGAGATTCATGGCCACCATCTTACAAGGTGCTACATGCATCACTGTTTAATGTTGAAGCTGCACATTAATACTTTGTATGTGGTGTGTTAAAGCAATCATCAGAGTCTAGAGAGTGAGTGTACTGGACTGGTATTTACAAAAGAAGGAAAAAGTTAATTCAAGGTCCCAAGTTATTGGTGAATTATTGGACTTCTTAACGGAGTTTAGTTTATTTCCGCTCCACGGTTTTCTGTCTCGCTGGCACCTGCATAGCACCTTTCAAGATGGGAGCACAAAACCTTGCCTTGTCATCATAGATTGTGTTTGACTGTTTCAGTCTCATTTCAGTGTGTAAAACATGTCAACTATTGTCTTTCACCCTGTTCTGTGTAAACGTCTGTCATGAGAGACTCATCAGAACGTGTTGCTGCTGATCTCATTGCTTCTGCTTATAAATTTGTAAATAAGGTGTAAATCTATTCTATTTCTATCTTTAATGTAAACAGGTCACCTTCATCCACTTTCAGTACATTAGATGAACGGATGAACACATGACCCTAAATGTGTAAAAAAATGGTTGTTAAATGTGTTAAATCAGGTCTGGACCTGATTTAACTTTGTTAGATTTTTCTACCTGGATTATTGAGCATGCGTCAGTACTTTAAATGTTTTATTAAAATAATATGGTTTTGAACAGTATTTTGTTTTTGAAGCTTAAAAAAGCAAAGGTCTGATGTACAGCAGAGGAGTAGAAGCAAGTTGATGAAGCCAGTCATCCAACATTTTGTAAATATTTTTCATTTTCAACTTTTGTATATTTGGTCATGTGTTCCTACACCTCCTTTTATAAATAATGTTACCAAAATATAAATCTATTTATATAAATGTTTTTTTGTTGTTGTTTGTTTGTCCCAATCTATTTTGAATATGACACAGTAAATTAAAATGTTTTGAATGTATTGAAATGAAAATAAAAGACAAATTAATTATGATTTTGTTTTTTATTCTGTCATTTTTACTTTGATGTCAGTTTTCTATCTGGACAGTAGAGAGAGGAGGCTGGTCCATTGGGGCAGGAGGGGCAATTGATTTCCCCAATAAATCCTAATAAATAATGTCCATCCATCCAGTACCTTTACTCGTTTAATCTTTTTTGAGTCGCGGAGGTTACTGGTGCTCCTATCCACCTATCACTGCAAGAGGCGGGGGACACCCTGGACAGGTCTCCAGTCCATCACAGAGACAAACATTCACTCTCACACATAAGGACAATTTAGTTACCAATCAGACTAACATGCATGTTTTTGGTCTGGGGGAGGAAATCTGAATTCCCAGAGAAAACCCACACATGCATGGAGAGAACATGCAAACTCCACCCAGAAAGGTCTCGAACTGGGATTTGAACCAGGGTAACCTGCTCGCTGAGAGGCAGCAGCTCTACCAGCCATTTCTGTGGGTTTGATCCCTCGTAGGAACATTTATTTATTTGAATCAGTGATGATATGACATCATTTCTTCACTTATATATTTTTTTTTATACAAAAGTGTTGGTGACCCCACCTCATGTGTCAGTTGCATGTTGTGTTGATTTAGTCATGCATTAGTTAAGCGGTCAAATTATCCTCATTTCATGTGGGGGTGCACATGAGCATGGGAGGCGGCTGTTTCTCTGATTTATTAGACAGGATTGTTATTCACGAGACAACATCGACCTGCAGGAGGAAGAAAAAAGGCAAAATGTTTAAGCATACAAAAGAAGAGCAATAAATTAAATAAACAACATATATCCTATTTTTATCACAGAAAATGTAACACAAATTGTAAAATTTGTGCCGTTTGTAATTTAAGAAATTAATGTCCACTCCACTAATATCTTGCTCATGAGCAGCCACTGAAGGCAGATATTTGTCACAGGTAAGATTCTGATTTATTATGATTCTGCTCTGATGCAAAATGGAAAACAGTCATTTCACCCACATGCTATTTATTGTTTGTTTGTTTGTTTGTTTGTTTTTGACACAATTTGCAATTATAATTTAAACACCATTCAGAGCCAGTCAGTTGAGTAGTGGACCTTCACACATGCAGGCCTGCAGAAAGCCATCTATAAAGCCATAAACAGGAGTTGTATATAGAAAGAAGTTTATAGAAACTTGTTACAGTCTGTGTGATAAATATTTAAATTTGCTCATAGAACAAATTACATTAACACAAGTTGATGTAATAAATCCAAAAGGTAAAGTAAAAGATATTTAAAAACGTTTTATACACATAAATATATTGATTCAGTCTTTTGTTGTTGCTTTTTTATTTTACTTTTTGTCAGAGTTGTCTCAATTGTTTTAAAATATCTTTTGTCAGAACAAGGTCTGTCTTTTGAACCAAACCCAAAATCCCACTTTGACACATTTTACAAATGAAAATTTTTTTCTAATTGAGTCAATACAACATTTTTCTGTTCTCACTTTGTGTTAAACATCATTATATACAGTGATGGAAAATAAAAATATATTGTTTTTTTGTTTACCTGCCCAAGCTCAGTCAGTCTGATGCATGTCAATCATGTGACAAACAACTGCCACAAGTTTTTTTGGCAGATTCAGACAAGTGCTTTGTTTACACTGAGTGCAGACCCACATTTCAGATTTGTATATCAAAATATCTAAAACTACTGGAGTAAACGCCTTCAACCTGCATCATTTGATGTACTTCATGGTAACCTTTTTATGTTTAATTTAATAGTTTTCAAAAAGTATCTTTATTAGTAAAACTTATAACTTTGTTCAACAAACCGTAATTTCTCTTGACGTGTGCTTCAGTTTGGAAGTCATGACTGGTGATGTCAGAGTTACTGCGGTTTAAATTTTGGATAATAGTCATGAAGCTTTTATGATTTAGCTGAAATGGAGCGAAGGTCTCGTGCCTGAGTTTTTTGGATGAAAATCTCTGCCTATATGTGCATGTTTTAATTTTCTTAAACTGGATGAAGATCATGTAGGTACAAACTAACTGATGCTTGTCTGAAGTTAAGGTAATTATGTTAGAGGTTACATGTTCACTCCTTTGAGCTGAAATTCACTATAAGTGACATTAAAACATGTCATTGTCTAAAGCGGGGGTTCTCAAACTTTTTGTCTTCATGGACCCCTCATAACCCTCATGTTTATTAAGTAATTTTCTTCAAATTGTCTCTTTAATGCAATGGTAATATTTGTGTAACATAAATACTTAAGGCCTGTTCTTTAATAGTGTTAGTACAATTTTTATACTTTTAAACATGGGGTATTTTTTATTCAAGACAATTAATTAACAACATTTTTTATTTCAACTTCCAAAGATTACAGTTTTGAGAACATTAACAGTATTAAAAAACCCACTTTAAAACTTTACCTATTCACATAATGAACATGATACATGTTTTGCCACTTCTTCAAATTATTACAGAAAACTCTTTACATAAAACTGAACAGACTCATAACAGCAGTAGTCAGACCCAGTGACCGGGCTTCATTTGTAAACTGGTTGATGCTGGAACACAAATAGCTGGGGGTGTCTGGGGGTCATCCCCAGAAATTTTTCAATAAAGTAGATGGGATTTCCTTCATTTTGGTGTATTTTAACAGGTTGATAAACATCTATTTGTTTGTAAAAAACAATAAACATTTTTTTGTTTGTTTTTTTGGTGGACTCCAAAGAACAAGATCACGGACCCCCGGGGGTCTGGGAACCTGGTCTAAACTAGTTGTTTTCTTTTACTTCAATTTAAGAGACTAAGATTTTTAGATCAACAAGAGGTTCTAAAATGTTTACCCTCCAGAGGGAACTATTTGGGACCAGAGGAGGAAATAGGCACATGTTATGTTTTCTCAATAATGTTTTAAAGACAAAATGTTCCATAAAATAAATTTCATGAGCTCAAATTCCTCAGAGTCTGTTGTCACAGAGTATTTTATTTTGTAACATCAGCACCTGAATGATGTCATGAATGTTGGTGAGAGGGTGATGTAATTTCTGTGATTTCAAGTTAGTTTTGAATGTTTTTACTGTACAGTGATGTGTGTTTTATTTAATGAAATGAGGACGTGCAGAGAATTACTTGTTTTAATCCTCAGACACATTTAATTTCTGTTTAAAGCAAATCAAATTATATATACATTGCGTCATCTTGCGTAAGCAGTACGTACTGCCCTCCCAACCAGTGAGTCACGTTCTAGCAGCTTAAAAATGCAGAGAAACTGCACAGTGTCCAATAGCAGCTGAGGCTGGGTGGGAGGCGACAGTTCAGCCTGAACAAACTGCTCTCACACACATTTCACCGCCTCTGTGTTCAGCTTCCTGCTGTCTGACTGAAGAGCTGCTGCTGGAGATGGAGGAGAGCCGGCACAAGCTGCAAAACAAACCTGTGCGCGTCATTGCTGCAATCGGCAACAACATGGGGATTGGGAAGGATGGTACCCTGCCCTGGAGTTTACCGTAAGACTGTATATTAATTGTTTTTTAACTGGTAATTTAATTAGTGCTAGTGAGCATTTATATAATCATCTGATTTTTCTGTCATTGTAATCAGGGATTCTTGGAATTTCCAATATAAATTGAAGGATCTGAACTTTTGAAGCTTTTAAAGCTGTTGCTAATTACTTTCACTGACCCATATGAACTTGATCTGTTCCCTAAACATAAATCTAGGAGCACAGAGGCCTGACAAGAACATAAAATGTTTTAAAGGTGCTGCTGTAAGCACAGATTATGTCTGTGACACGTTAGGTGTTATCAGTGTGTGTGTGCTGTAACAGAACAGCGTGTGGATTGTTTTAAAGTGTCACATCTGTTTTGTTAAAGCTAAATATGAGGCTTGGTTTGTCCAGTGCAGAGAAAGATTGTCTTATTTTCCTTTTGCTCCATGGTGTATAAACCATGGAGCACCATGCTGTTGGATTAAATGATAAATGGACTGTACTTATATAACGCCTTTCTATCTTATCCAGATATTCAAAGCGCTTTACACTACAATCTGTGCCCTCATTTACCCATTCAGACAGCTCTCTGCTAGATCTATACAAAGCTAATCTGAATCTGTAGAGATTAATCAGTGCTTTTCAGTGGTGTAGTCTATGTGATACGTGGTCATACGGCATATACCCACTATGAAAGCTTGAGAATTTCAGTATACCCACTTAAACGTGCCCAATGATACATGACATATCATTAGGCTCGTGTCATTGATATGTTAAATGGTAGTTAAATGCTTCCATGACAATCTGTCTGTGTGCAGCGCTTGTTTATTACATTCGCTTATCCAGCGAATTATTGTATAATTCTGTACTTACTACTTAATACTTGAACATGGTTTGCTTTGATACTGTTTTATAAATCCTGTAACATGTTTTTAATACAAAACCAACTGTTGTACAAAGTTTGTTGTGCATTTATTCAAATATAAGCATCAGAGAAACTTGGAAATGTTCAATACGATTACATTGTACTAACCAGTGTACTTTGGTTTTGTTGGATTTAATATTTTATACCTTTTTATAATTCCTATCAAGCATTCAAATGTCATGTCATATATAAAGTGTGTGCGTGTCTTTCTTCCAGGGTTGAACTATGTTTATAGAAAATGTTTGCTAATTCTAACTAGTTGACCTTTAAATATAATCTCATAGGAGCTAAGGATAATTTTACAAGTTCACATTCGATGGATTACAAGCAATCAAATCAGGCCTTTCAGAACCTTTCAGAACAGATTAGAGCAGAGACTGATTAACATAAATAAAGCTAGAACACATCTCTTTAATTTAGACAATATAGTTTGACTAAGTAAAATCAAATTAAAAGTATAAAAATGATCCAAATAAAAAACACAAACATGAGTTAGATAATAATAATTAAGTTATTAATTATTCCTAGAAATAAACAACTTGATTTCTAATCAGTTGGTATCACTAAGGTATAATCACGTTAAACAAACAGTGTTAACAGTTTAAACGCAGACAAGGAAACTAAGATGAATCTGCCTTAAAAAACAGAATCACCAGACCTTCAACAGATATTGAATTAACACCCATGAGGTAGGTAATAATTAATAGTTATTAATTATTACGTATAAACAATTTAGACACGAATCATTTTGTATCCCTAAAGTATAATAGCAAGTTAAACTTTAAACAAAAGCCGATTTCGGTGTACCAAAACTTATCTGAAATATAGACGTTAACGTCCTTGAGGGGGCGGGCTAAGAGTCGTAACCATAGCAACAGAAGCTGAACCAATCAGGAAGCTAGCCTTCTCAAACGGGGATAAAAGGCCGGAAATGACACACGCCCACCGAGCATTTCCGGTAGGACCGCGCGGCTACGGTTCGTTCTTAATGCTCCATTTATATGCATATATCTTATTAATGTAATTGTTTGTCTCTGAATATCTGTAACCCATGTTTTGTCAAATAAATCTTTTATACCAAGGGCGACGCCTCAGCCGTCTTGAACACGACGTGGTATTCCAGCCACAACAGTTTCTAAGGACAGTACACACACTACAAAAACATAGACTACACCACTTAGATCACATTCATTCACTGATGGGACACACATCTGAGGCAGTGATGTTCAGTGTCTTGCCCAGTGACACTTCAACATGTGACTGCTGGTGGAATCAAACCCCCACCTCTCCCATTGGAGGACGTCTACACTAACCACTCAGCCACAGCTGCTCCAATAATGGGTGGATTAAATGTCCATCCATTATTTTACCCGCTTCTTCTTTTCTGGGTCACAGGGGTCACTGGTGCCCATATCCAGCAGTCTCTGCGCAATGGACGGGGTACACCCTGGACATGTCTCTAGTCCATCAGGGACACATAGAGCAGTGGTGATTTTATCCTCTTTTGGGGGTGCTCATGCCCCCCTAAATTTTAACTCAGCACCCCTGCAAAGTTAAGAAACCATCATTGTGATTTTGTAAGGAAACTCAGTTCTCAAACCTTAGATTCACTAAAATATTGAATAAATTTGAAATGAAAATGGAATAAATGATGACACTCTGAAACAGGTTAGTAAAATCTAAGATTTTTGTTTTTTGTATGAGTCAAATCCTCAACGCCACCAGTCAGTCCAGTAGGCTCGTCAGCAACCGACCATTCGACGACCTCAATTTGTCCCGAAGTGAAACGCCTCTTACCTGCAGGAGCTGGGGAGAGGGGGGTGAAGGGAGGGGGGTGCATGCATGAGAGAAGCAGAGTGCTACTTCTGTAGCATCTTAGCTAACGCATCTGTATTCCCTTCAACATTTTCTGCTTCATTCAAAATATAATGTATTCAAAATTTTATTGGGGTGGGGGGCAGACACCCCCACCACCACCACCAGTGTATCCGCCCCACATTACAAATGCTTCTGATGCTAATGGCCACTGCATTGTTCAAGTTAAGAACCATTGTCAGCACTGGGGGCTAAGCGCCCCTAAAGGTCAAACTCTAGAATCGCCCCTGACACAGAGACAAACAACCATTCACTCTCTCACTCACACCTAGGGACAATTTAGAGTTACCAGTCAGCCTAACATGCATGTTTTTAGTCTGTGGGAGGAAACCGGAGTACTCAGAGAAAACTCACACATGCACGGACATAACATGCAAACTCCACAAAGAAAGGTCCCCGCCGGGTTTCGATCCGGCAACCTTCGCACTGAGAAGCGACAGCTCTGAGCCACTGCCTGTTTGATTAAATAGTAAACTATTTCCCCCACACAGATCTGAATCTCAGTACTTTCTGAACACCATCTCGAGAGTGTCACGACCAGGTAATACATCTTTTCTACTCTGTTGTTTAGGATCTTGTCCTCATGACATTATCTTTTATGCTGCTTGTGTTTGGTTCTGAAGGTAACATGAATTTGATGATTTGGGGTCGGCTGTGTTGGAATTCTCAACCGGAAAACATGTTACCACTGTCCAACTCTCTGCATGTAGTGCTCAGTAAAACACTTAGGTGAGTATCTGCACATGCACGCACACACTCAAACACCCACTCCCACACACAGACACAAGTCCACACTTACTGAAATGACTTAGACTCGTTTCTGTGTCCTAACCATGACCTTAGTCCTAAACCCAAGCCCTAACCCTAAAACTGACATTCAGCCATAATAGAACCAAGCTTTGGTCCCAACAAGGACTAACATGGTACTGTAGGTGATAATACCAGAAATAGTCTTAAAAGGTAACAAAATGCAGATCCATGTAGTCCCTCGATTATTGTGGGGGTTATTTTCCACACACACCCCAATGATAGGTGAAAAACTGTGAAGAAGGAATGCTTTATTTATTTTAGTATTTTAAGGCTTTATAAACCCTTCCCATGCTCGCAATGTTCTTAACTCTTCAGCCTATGTAATTTTAACAACATACGTATATGTACTATACAGTACTGCAAAAGTTTACTCACCAGCTTTGCAGACTGGCAGCTCGCTTCCAATCGGACTCGGTTCCAGTTCTGCGGACCTACCCTGCAGCGACGAAGCCCACCGCCCCATCCAGGTTGATGTACCCGTGGATAATTGAGCTTCAGGATTATTTGCTACTTTCCTGCCAGTTCTGTGAGCTTCATAGCTTCATAGATAACATATAGTTGTGTTGTAAAACTTTCCCTCCAGTTCAGCAGAAAGCAGCAGCACTGGGTAGTGTAGTTCTTTTGACTGGTGATACAGTATAGGCTTATTGAAAGAAAACTACACAATGATGGTGCCTGACTGTGTTTTTTTTTTCATTAACTTTTTATTCCATACTGTCCCAATCACGTGAGTAATATTAACGTTGACAATCATTAAAAAAACGTGAAAGAGCGAGTCTGCGAAAGTTGCACCGCAAAGTATCGAGGGAGTCCCGTACATAAACAGTTCTGCCTCAGCAAGAACTTCATGAAAGTAGCTCCACCCAGAAACTAGTCCCAGGTTTTATTCTGTTTCATCTATTTCCTTCCAGCACAGTCCCAGATCAGGCTCACTTCTTGTGCCAAGACTTTGAGAGCGCCGTCCGGCTGGCAGCTGAACCCCCCCTCGCAGGTATAATAGAGACCATCTGGGTTCTTGGTGGAACACAGGTCTACGAGGTAAACCAGATCTATAGTCTGACACTTAGGTGTGTAAACAAGACATCTGTTTTAGGCATTTCAACATTAGCAGTCACACAGAACAAGTACATAATAATAAAAAATAAAGGATGCTTCAGCTGCAGGTCTCTATCTCTAGTTCAAACTGGTTAGCGCCCTCTGGTGGCAGATTCTTGGCACAACAACAGATTATTGCTAAGTAAATCTCAAAGTTACAGACTTTCCTTTGTGGCTCAAAAGCTGCATTTGTATTAAACATTTTAATCACTACTCGGCACTCATTTTGCTATACCTATTTTTTATTTTATGTAAAAAGAAGAAAATTTGTCAAAGGTTGTATTTTTTCCAGTAAGTTGAGTTGCACTAAAGGCGTTTTAGTCAGTATGAGTTAAAAAAAAAGTATTTATCAAGCTCAAGTTTAGGTTTCTACATGAGATTAGTTTCAAGAATGTTGCTTATCAAACTTTTCTAGTCTGGAAATTGTTGTCTCTGGATTACGCATCCAAGTATTCATTTGTTTCACATGATTCCCAGTGTTCCCAATATTCCATCTCTGATCAGCCCGAACAATTTTGCACATTTTGGTTCATTGAGCATTAGTTATTAATAAACAAGCTAAAACAAGTTAAAGGCAAAAAAATACTCCTTTAACATTTAATTATTTTATTTATTTTACACAGGCAAAGCAGAATAATCTAATAATAATTGTTAATTTTAATTCTAATAGAATGTAATTCTAATAATAATTCCACATTCTCTTTTATATTTTAGGTATTTTTGGTTAATTACTAATATATTGAGCTATATTTAAACCTTAAAACCATAATGCCTCGCAGGGTTTCAGTCTTTGCAAAGTTCTTCATCCAAATTGTGTTTTTTTTTTTTTTTTATTGTTTTAAACTTCTTTTCCTAACTTAAATGTTTTCAGAAACACAAACTATATCATGTCGATGTTAATTAGTTTATGTGAGTTTATATGTTGGTCAAAAGAAATTTGTTTTGTTTTCTCTAAATAGAATAGTTAAAATAATTTTACTTACCTTAGTGCACATTAACTTAAAAATAACAGGTGTCAAACTCAGTGTCAGCACCAGACTAAAATTTTTGTTCCACCTCGGTGACTAATTTCAGTCACTATTTATTGAAACATAATATAATTTGTATGTCATAATATTTTTATATAAATATGACTTTATCTTAAGACATTTTAAAAAGATGTTAGACCAAAAAATAATTCATTAATTGAGACAAAGATCAAATTACAATGATCCAATACTGTATTATCATTCATTGTGTTAATGTTGACTCTATTTCATTTTTGTTTTCCTGTTTTTATTATTATTGTTGTTGTTGTTACTACTGTATTTTTCAGATTATAAGTGCATTAAGCGAAACAAAACAGTCAAATAAGTCAGACTTTATTCAAGTCATTTACAATAACCACATGAAATCAGTTCGAGGTCAGTAAACAGTAAACCAGAATGAATGCACAAGGCACACTTGATTATAGTATGTACCTTTTTTGTAATCTAACTACTTCTGCATACGATATGTTATTTTAGCATTAATGCGTCTTAATGTTCAGCTCATTCAGGAGATGGAAAATATGACTTTAAGTTGTTTTCACTTTTTTCAGCTTATTTAACTTTATAAACCGTTTTCTTTGAAATCTGCTCCAACACACGGTCTCGATTCTTGGTCTGCTTTGCTACTTTTGGGTTTTAGCTGCTGTTACTTCACTTTTAGATTAGCTGCTTTTAGCTTACAACTAGCCTTAGTTAAATGTTCCCACCTTTATTTTGGGTTAGCCTTTTGTGAGTTTTAGCATCTAATTAGCTTTTTGATACTTTTGGCTTATAATTAGCAACTTTTAACTTTTTTGCTGTCTTTTTTTACTTCGTTTAGCTTTGGCCACCATTTTGCTTTTAGCTTTAATCTAGCATTTTACTATTTTTATTTATTTATATTATTTTTCTCAAGATTTTTTTCCACTTGTGACTGTTAGCTACCATTCACGTTGCATTTTGAGAGAAAATGACAGATTCTTTGTTCTTCAGATCGGGTACTTGAGTTCTTCTGGTGTTTTATTGCTCTTTCAACATCAAAATTAAACATTAACTAAGATTTTCTAACTTATTTTTTTCACCTAAAAAGTTGGTGAAGTGAGAACTCTGCTCTAATAACTGTTTTAGACAAAATAAAAAATAAAAGAGTTGATTTGTCATTGATTGGCTAAACTAGTATGACTGTGGGCCAGACAGTTTCTTACATGGCCGTATCTGGCCCGCGGGCCTTCACTTTGACAGGTGTAATGACAGCTGTGGAGTGACTGAAGTTGAAGTGTTTTCTTTCTGTTCAGGATGCCTTGAACCACCCGTGGTGTGACCTGCTCTACCTGACAGACGTGATGGCCGACTTTGACTGTGACGTTTTCTTTCCAGAGTTTGACAGGAAGTTATTTAAGTTACAGGACAGGTGAGTTTCTCTCGTTCCAGAAGTGCTGAGTCTTAAGATTGACTGCTTCCTGATCCTGAGGCTTTGTCTTCTTGTGTGAACCTGTGGGTGTTTAACTGTTGCGTGAGAGTTATTCACCCGACGGCAGAAAGATCCAGGTTTGTTAGAAGGCCGGCATCAGCACGGCTGTCAGAGGAAGCTGTTTGAGCAGCTCGAAAGGATTTGCTGACTTTACCGAAAGCTTTGAAGAGCATGGACACTGTAGTTAGAATACATTTACAACTTAAATTAGGTGGAGTCAGTTAGAAGCAGTAAATTATAAAATAAACTAAATATAAAATATGGCAGACTGAGATGTTTAAAGCTGTGTCTGTTCCATTCAAAAAGTTAATAATGTTTAATTTAGTTTAAATGGCTTATGAGGTGTTTAATAATTTCCAACAAACTGCAACTTTTATTCAGTTTGATTGTCAGTTATTTAATGTTTTTGTCTTGATGAACTCACAAGAAATACTGTCTTGTTTTTCTGTTTCGTTTTCTTCATATAAGGTTTCCTGACGTGCCAAGTGAGATTCAAGAGGAGAACGGCATCAAGTTTAAATTTGAAGTTTTCAAAAAAGAAAATGCTGCTGCTATTTAAATATTAACGACACAACAAATGGACATAAGCCAAAGATTAAAAAGTTTAAAAAGTAATATGACAGTGGAGATTTTACCTAAAAACACAAAAATGTGTGTTCTGGGTTTAAAAAAAAACAATAAAAGTTAGATTTTTTAAAATTATTATTTGTATTTGAAGCAGAAAAAATGAATGGAAAAAAACTTACAGCACTTTGAATACATAGTCTGGTTTTTAACATGTGCAGATTTACATATATTTTCACATTTCTAATCTTTGTACAAAACTATAATAAATTCTAGCAATGAAAAAAAAATATCCTCCTGCTGCCTTCAGCCCACACCTTCAAGCTTTTTCACTCCCACTCAGTTTTTCTGCAGCTGCATGGAAATGGATTGTCGTTTAATTAGTGAGCAGCAGAAAACAGCCTGAAACCTGGTTTCACCGCAGATCTGCTTCATAGTGACAGCTTTTCATTAAATATAAAAACTGTTACTGAGTATAATTTATTGTGGCTAAAAACATATTTATTATTGATGTTTTTACTGTTGTTTTGCTGTGCCACTGCCTCACTGATTAACAAATAAATGACTGTCATTATTTTATCAATTTAAATAAAAATTATTCCGATTCGTGATGGTGTATGTGGTCTTTTTAGCCACTAGATGGCGTTAGAAGTTAAATTTGTGCTTTTTGATAGCTTTTTATCATGATTCTCACGGTAAGTTTTTAGATTTTCTCCTTTATTCTTCTTTCTTAAAACTTTAAACATACTATAGTTGACAGGTAGAAAGTCTAGAAGCTCAAGACAAGTCACTGTATTTTACAAAGACAACGTTAGTGTTAAAATATGCAATTTAGCATAAACACATATTGTAGATGTTTATGCCAGCAACTTATCTAAAAAAATAAAGAACTGAGTTTATTCCTCTATGTCACTTTGTATTTATTTATTTATTTATGTTTGTGTGTAAAAATATAACAGAGTTTTCTCTGAGCAGATCATGTTTGCTATGACTTTTGGCACATTGACTTGGTTAATATGAACTACAAACAGGTGCTGACTATTAAAATCCATCCATCCATCATCTTTTACCCACTTCTTTATTTTTGGGTTGAGGGGATCACTGGTGCCCATCACTGTGCAAGAGGCGGGGGACACCCTGGACAGGTCTCCAGTCCATCACAGGGACACATAGAGACAAACAACCATTCACTCTCTCACTCACACCTAGGGACAATTTAGAGTTACCAATCAGTCTAACATGCATGTTTTTTTGTCTGTGGGAGGAAACCGGAGTACCCGGAGAAAACCCACACATGCACAGAAAGAACATGCAAACCACCCAGAAAGACCCCCAGCATGGGATTCGACCCGGCAACCGTCTCGCTGAGAGGCAGCAGCTCTACCAACTGAGCTGCCCTGACTATTAAAACGTGTTAAAAATACACATAAAACTTCTGCTTTTTAAATTTGTAGGTGGTTAAAGTTGTGATTAAGAGTAAATAAATTGATTAAATTTTGGATTTATCAGAACGTGAGACACTTCGGACACTCGGGTCCAAAGTAACAAAGGTGCTTTTTCCTTGGATCATAAAGTTCCTATGTACATCTCTTGATGTATGAATGAACTGCGTTCACTGACCATAAATTTTACCGTTGATCCTGAGTCCATGCGCTGGCCTTTGCAGTCATATCTGCTTCTGATGCGTTGTTGATGATGCTTTAAGGCATTCAGAACAGCTTTGCAGCCTTGTTCTCTGCACACAGAGATTTCTTTGAGCACTTTTATACATCAAGGATGCAGTAAAGACTTTCATGCATCCTTGATAACAGCTCCTCTGCACCTTCCTCCAAGTGTATTTTAGAAATAAAGTCATTCTTCAAAACGTTGTTCAGAAATCAAGACTCGGGTCAAAGGCATGAAGAAGAGACACGTTTAGTCTTCTTAAGATGCTTAAATTCATCCAGAAATGTTACCAACCTGCTTCAATTATGATAAATATTTGTGAGCTACATCACCTTTGTTACCTTTCAAGATATTTTAATTTGCCTGTTCCAATTATTTTAAGATGTTTGTCTGCACTTGAAATCCAAAATTAACTTCTTTTTTTTTTTTTTTAACACAGTTGATATTCCCTCTTTGTATTAGCTTCTAGTTGAACGCAGGACATAATCTTTGGAAACAGGGCCATTATTAAAAGATGTTTAATTTTTTGAACATGTTCTCAGAAAAAGGCCCTTCACTTCTCGGCAGAGCAGTTTTGATTCACCTCACAGAGGGAGAGGCGCCTAAATGGTCAGTGGAAAGATAAAATCAGTCATGAATGAATAAATGACAATGATACCCAGCAGACCGGTGACAGATGAGTCGTTTTAGGGTTGAGTCTCCCACAGTGGTCAATATAGAATCTTATTTACTTTTTGTCATTGAGCGTCCATCATTGTGACATTTATTCTCCTCCTGCTGCATGTAAAGTATATTTATGTTGTGTCGTCGACGTCCAGGAGGGTTTGAGAGACAAGCAGTGACAGAAAAATTTACTTTTTACTGAATACCAGAGGGGCAGGTTTAGACAAGAGAAAATTAAAGTGCTGCTTTATTCAAAGTAAATGTAAAGAAACTGGAGCAACTTACACAATATCATGAGGTTAATCTTGTTTTTAACGCTGGAAATACACACATGATCAAAATAATGATGTAAAAAACATGATTTTTACTGGAATGCAGATGTTATCTGACTTCCTTGAGTCAGAGCTGATCATTCAGGTTGAAACAACTTTTGCCCCAGTGCCTTGAAAGTAAACATTCACATTTGACGTTAAACCAAATTCAAATCAAATTACGAGGTATATGTTTAACAGTTCTTGAAGAAATCCGTGGAACCTGCCACTTTTTATCCTAGAGTTTTTAATCAAAGTTGTCTTATGCTAAAAAGGAATAGACTTCTTTGTTTATGTCAAACCTTATAAATGGTATTATGTATGAACTCGTGATGTCATGAGATCTTGTCAGCTCTGTTAGCGCTCACAGAAGGTGCAGACTTTCTACTACTACCACACCAAAATTAGCTCAATAGCTGTAAAAGTGATTGAGTTATGATATTGATTGGCCATCTTTGATAGAGTTTATTCAATGTAGATGCACATCCACGTATCAACGCATCAACGTGTGGCCCGGGGGGCTGCACAGCTGGAGAGAGAAAAGCTCTGCAGAGAGTGGTGAAGGCTGCACAGAAGTCTGTTGGAGTCAGCCTCCCCACCATCACAGACATCTAAACCTCCAGGTGCAGGAAGAGAGCCACCTGCATCATGAAGGACCCCACTCACCCAGCGCACACACATTTTGCCCTGCTCTCCTCAGGCAGAATGATGCAGAGCATTAAGTGCAGAACCGCTAAACTGAGGAACAGCTTCTACCCTGAAGCTGTTAGACTCAAGAATCTCTAACCAGGAAAGTCACTACAGTATAAGGGGAAAAAAATCACTGTAATGCCACTTTAATTGGTGATATGTCACTTTATCTGTGCTGCTGATTATCCATGCTGCTGATCTCTTGCCTTTAAGCTGCTGTATTCATACCCATCTGCTCACTCATGTTCAGGCTGCTGTTTAATATATCATATTATTTCACATTATTAGTGTTTAGAGTATATCTTAAATCCTTGTATACTGTTTCTTTTTATACTTTATATTTTGCTAATTTTGGGTGTAACTGGGACCCTGTGTACTCAGTTTCGTTCCACCTCATGTGATGCGAATGACAATAAAGAACGTTGAACATCCAATGATGACTGAGAGATTTATTAAAATCCATCCACTGGTTCATGAGGTATTTTACAGACAGGCAGGGTTGAAACCTAAAGTCAATGCAAAGTTTAAGTAATGTGTAGCGCTCTGAGTATGTGTTTTGGATTAAGCTCGGCTACTACCACACCAAATTTAGGTCAATATCTAAAATTCTTTTAAACTTAGTTATAGCCATATTTGTGTTTCCTATGGTCAGTTAGCTGTTGCAGCCATCTGGAATTGGGTGACCCCCCCCCAAATAATCATAACGATTAAGAGAGTTTCATTAAAATCTGTCCATTGGTTCATGTGATATTTTGTTAAAAGACAAACAAACATTATCGCTGCATTGCCTTCGGTGGCGACTGATTAATTTATGGCCAACTGTGCTCCAGTTAAAAATCATGCCTTTTGTTTCCAGATGTTTTCTGCTTCTGTTGAGATTTGACCCAAAACATTGCTAAGTTAAGCGTGGTTAATATCAACCAATGGCTTGTTTGAAATAAAAAAAAAACAACTCATGCACTCTGTATAATTTAAGAGCTCGGTATGAAACGATGCGGCTGTAAAGGACAAGAGGACACAAGGTGAGGAATAGATCCAACTTACATTCCTCCACCTGAGGCCTGTCTCATCTCACCTTGACACTTCTGATTAACTCCGTGTGTTCATTACTTTGTATCTGTGAAAGACAAAGCACCATAGCCTTGCAGCGTGAAGACTTAAAGCAAATGTGTGTGAAAATTAGAAACCTTCAGCTGCAGTGTACTTGTGGTGATGTTGTAGTCTCCCTCGGGGGTTCCATATCGTGAATGGTTGGAAAAATTGAACTCCAGTCAGACATCCATCTGCTGAGCTCAAATTCATTACCGGATGCACCCACTGTCGCATCATCTGCCCATTGGCCATCGCCATGACTACAGGACCGTGGTGAGTGATGCCGGCGGCAGCAGATGGGAAGTGGTTGTTAACGTACGACGCCATAGATGTGGACACACACATCCTCTGTCTTTGTCGTGACCCCCATCGTGAGAGAGAGGGAACCTTGAGGCATAAAGTCATGGCTTCATTAGCTGTGAAGCTCGCTCTCATTAAAAGCCACTCTGGGTTTCAAGGGCTTTGAAACATTACGACACATTCAAAACCACACAGGGAACATTTTAACATGGACTCCTAGCGAAGGCGATGTCCACTATGACAGTAAAATGTGCTTTAATATAATCAGCCCTCACCCAAAAGCGCTTCAGAAAACCTTAAAGCCAAGACAAATTTATTTATAAAGCACATTTTAAAACGGCAGCTGTTACCAAAGTGCTTAATAAAAATCAATGGCAGTAATAATAATACCAAACATTAATGAAAAGCATCAAAAGATAACACAAAAACAATAAAATACTAAATGAAATCACCCTGAGTTAAAAGTCAGTGTTTTTAAGAGATTTAGAAACAGGAAGTGAAGTGGTCTGTCTAATGTTGGGGGGGCAGATTGTTCCAGAGTTTAGGGCCCTCGACTGAAAAAGCCCGATCTCCTCTGAGCGTCTGGTTTTTGGTACAACCAAAAGCAGATGATCAGATGATCTCAGCGCCCGAGGAGCATAAGGTTGAAGCAGATCAGAGAGGTATGAGGGTGCAAGGTCATTAATGCACTTAAAGATCAACAGGAGAATTTTAAAATCTGTTACGTACAGGGAGCCAGTGAAGGGAGGACAAAACTGGTGAAATATGCTCAAACCTGCGAGTTCCTGTTAAGAGCCGAGCTGCAGCTTTTTGGACGAGCTGGAGACGTGAAAGGGAGACCTGACTGACACCAACATAAAGGAGTGTTAAAGAAGTCAAGTCAGGTTGTAATGAAGGCATGGACTATTATTTCAAGATCCGATCTGATCAACACTGATTTAAGCTTAGCTATCTGCCTTAAATGGAAGAAACTAGAACAGTTAATCTGTATTAAACACCTGGAGAGCTGGTGCAAGGAGAATAACCTTCACATCAACGTAAAGACGAAGGAGATGGTTGTGGCCTTCAGAAGGAACAAACACGCCTACCCTTGATCATTAAGCGATCACAGCCCAACTTCTCAAAAACAACAAACTGATGTGAAAATAACACTACATTAACTATATTAAACCTCTACACTTTTGCAAATGTTGACGGTAATATGTCAGTGTATGTGTACGCCGCATAGATCGTGTAAGCGTCGGTGTCCTGATGCTGCTGAATGTATCGGCCCGTGTCGAGTTGAGTAAACTTTCATAGACGTGCTGATGCAGCAGTCTATGCTCAGCACACAGACATTCGTGTGGAAACACGGACATCACTTTAAAAAATGAGCAGGCTGCACTTGAATTGAATAAAATCAAACAGGAAAGCATTGAAATTTTAAATATTTTCACAACAAGACTAAAGGAAAAGCCTCAAATTATGTTTTAAAATAAAATACTTTTAATCCAAAACCTTTTTTTCAATTCAATTCTAAGAAGTGTTTGAATTCATTTGTGATAACGATGAGACATTTTAGTAGCTTATAATGAAGTGTCTCCATCTGTGCAGTAACAATAAAAGTCGAAGCTTTATTTCCTCCCAGAGGGGAGCAGTTGTGTTGCCAAGAACATTGTGTGAAAATGGCTCTCTGGCTGTAAATAAAACGAGTCGAAAAGCCACAGTTAGACACAATAATGCGTTTGATCGACGACGCAGCACCTCTGCCATTAAGCAGCTGTGTCAGACAGAAATTTATGAAAGAGTTATTGTAATGGTGTAACTTGAAATGAGCTGGGGTAATCTCTTTATTTGAAACTGTCAACCATTAAGATATCCTAGCATTTGCCTTTTGGTCATCATTACACAATAATGCATCTCTTCCAAAAAACATTCACACTTGTGATGATGGTGCTACATGTTCAGGCAGGACCACTTACAGTAAGTCTGAATTATAAGTTCAATAAATGCAGGTAAACTAGCATTTCGCAGCATATCTCTGTTCTAAGAGTAGAAAAAGAGTTGCAGAATGCAGAACAGCATCAGCAGGCGTGATGACGATGAAATGACAACGTTTGAAAATATAAGGTGAAGGAAAGTTGCAAGCATTTAGTTTAATGTTTGTTCACCAGGACTTTGTGCCCAAGTGTAGATTGAACTAAACCTATGCTCAAGTTGCAAAAACTGTTTACTTAGGTATGAATTATGAATAGTCTTTTATAAAATAGGCACAAACCAACTGAATGAAAAGAGGAAAATAAAAGAGCTGCTACATGACTCATAAGCAACAAAGTAATTGCTTTTCTTTTCTTTCTTGTTTTTTTTTTTTTGCAACCCAGAAGAATGGAAATTTTGGCAGCAAGAGGAAAATATTTCTTAAAATATATAAAGGGTTGTAACATTAGCTAACTGTGAAAACACTTTTGAAAAAAATGTGATGAAAAAGCTGAATCCTCGTGCTTTACGTCAAGACAAATTTGCACGTTAATATCACCTTTGAAAAACGTATCGGATTAAGATTAAAAAAACACCTTCACCGATAAGACACTTTGTAAAAGTTTTAAACGACAGAACAGCTTTTTGTCTTGTTGAAAAAAAAAAGGTCTTTGTCGTTTTTAAGTTGAGTTTTAAGTTGGAGACAACAGTGCTGCACGATGGTGCAGTCGGTAGAGCTGCTGCCTCTCAGCGAGAAGGTTGCTGGATCGAATCCCAGCCGGGGGCCTTTCTGGGTGGAGTTTGCATGTTCTCTCCGTGCATGCATGAGTTTTCTCCGGGTGCTCCGGTTTCCTCCTACAGACTAAAAACATGCATGTTCGGCTGATTGGTAACTCTAAATTGTTGCATGAGTGAGAGAGTGAATGTTTGTTTGCCTCATTTGTCTCTATGTGTCCCTGTGATGGACTGTCCAGGGTGTCCCCCGCCTCTTGCACAGTGACTACTAGATATGGACACCATGACTTGAAAAGGAAGAAGCGGGTAAAGATGAATGTTAGACAAAAGAGCACCTTTAGACTGAAGACATTGAAATCTTATTTAGATAAATAGAATGCATCCTATTAGCATCTTTTCATGTGTTCATTTATAATCATTGTCAGTCATCTCCTTTCAAAGGGGCGACAGGGTTAAAAAGTGGTCTCTCTCTTCGCAGTTGCAGTTTCCCCAAACTCATCTCAAAGTCCTTTTTGGTGCCGTTAATGGCATCCAGACTCCCCGTCTTTATGTCATAACCATGCGCCTTCAGTCGCTGGATGCGATAGCTCACTATCTGCGGGGTCAGCTCCAGGACGGTTGGAGTCTCCATGATCTGAGGCATGCTGATCCCAGTGCTGAGGAGGCCCTTAAAGCGATCAGAAAGAGTACCGTGTGGGTAGTAAAGCAGCGCTGGACACTTGAGGATAATCTCCCGCAGCTCTTCTTCAGAGCAGCCGATAGTTTCCTGGGAGAACGTCAGCGTGCGATGCATGCTGTCTGGGTTCAGCTCAGTGACAAAGCCTTTAAGTTTGGAGAGGAGGTGAAGGAGCTCTGCGGTGCTGAAACCCCTCTCTCTCAGGAACGCCAGGTTCTGCCTCAGCACCTCTGTAGGCTTAAAAAAAACAAACGGGTTTTGAGTCAGCAGCTTCTGAAGCCAGATTTTCATGTTGTCTTCATCGCCCCCCAGCTCCTTGTAGGCCCGTTGGAGGGAACAGACCATGACCCGGTTCTGCTCTACAGGCCGGCTGAAGCTCTGTGGAGCGCTGGCCATGAGTTTGCTGATGACTCGCTTGTTGAGGTTCAGACTCTGGAGGTAAACAATGTTGTTGCGTTGGTTGTCATGGTGACTGGAGGAGGTGAAAAAGGAGGCTGGGAATTTCTCGATGATACTAACCAGCTCGTTCTGGTTGGGGCACACAGACATCCACAGCTCCCTCTGAGTCTGCATCTGCTCCGGACTACAAAGAACAGCCTCAGGATGAATAGCTAAGATATGAGCAATGATGGGACCCGAAGCCCCCATGTCCTTCAGCAGACTCGCTACCTCCTTAGTGTAGGTTGGACTCTGATATAGCACCCATCCTTTAAGTTTCCTAACCTTCTGGATGTCCACGTAGAGCTCAGAAAGAGCCTCCACAGTCTGCTGGTTCTCTCCTGAGCTGACAGTCACACATCTCCTGAGGTTTAAAGGCAGAGCTGTGGCGTGTTGGCATCGAAGGCACAGGGACGTTGAAACGAAGCGCAGCATTAATGCAGAATCCTCCTTGTGCTCAGATACTGCAGGGAGTGACAGCAAAAATAAAACCTTCACATTAAGAAAGAAAAATAATGACAATATGATCAGATAACTATGATGACGACCTCCTCATACTGAATTTACATCAAGCTAAATAAGATAAGATTCACTGCACCTTGAAAATGGGAAGTCAGAACTTTTGCTTTTAGTCATTAACACCAAAATCTAACCTGCTATTGTTCTTAATAAATTTGCCCAGATAGAAGCAGACACAGCCTCAGCACATTCAAAGTGCAAATCACCACAAGAAAACACCTATAAACCTTATTTTAATTAACCTACACAATCGATACAAAAAACAACTCTTCAAAACTTAAAATGACACAAATAAATCCTGATGAACTGAGCAACAGAGCTCAGAACAACAAATTTGTTAAAGCCTGAGGAAATAACAACTTGTAGAAAAATGGTGTAAACCTTTTATAAATGTAAATATTAGAAAATAAAATGTTCACAAGTTATTTTATCAGGATCTGAGTCATGCATTCCTTATAACTTCTGACATGTGATATAACACACTGGTACTAAGTCACTGGGCTATTTCAACAAAATACTGACAAATGTATTCTGCACCATTAACCTTCAACTATAAACTCAACACAATAAATGCAGGTATCTGCTCTTAGATTTCTGAATTGGGTGTTTAAACCTGCATTAGATCTCATGAAAAACATTTTGTGTTGAGAAACCTCCAACTACGACGTGTCTGCTTCACACTTGAGTGATTATTGTCAGTCATCATCTCAGGCTTAAGTTAATAAAAAGAAGCTTGGAGAAATAACTTAATGGTTAACTTAACCTTCAGAGTTTTTGCATGACTGACATGAGAAAAAAAAAAAACATGAGCCAACGAACTTGACTATGAATAAGTGTGGACGTGTAGTAACTTGATAAAAACATTGCTGCTCTTTAACCGCCACATAGTACAAAAACGGTTGACTTGCTCCAGATGCGAACTGATGTTAACCGGTGTACCACAAGGCTGAGTGATGAGTCCCTTCCTCTACTCCCTCTTCACCCATGACTGCAAACCTGTTGATGGTTCCAATACCATCATTAAGTTTGCAGATGACACCACGGTGATCGGCCTCATCAAAGACAACGATGAGACCGCTTATAGGGAGGAGGTGGTTCGTCTGGCTGAGTGGTGTGACAACAACAACCTGCTGCTCAACACCGAGAAGACTAAGGAGCTCATCGTGGACTTCAGGAGGAACACTGGCCCACATCCACCCATCTACATCAAGGGGGCGGTGGTGGAGCGTGTGAACAGCTTCAAGTTCCTGGGTGTCCACATCTCCGAGGATCTCACCTGGACGACCGGCTGTTCCAAACTGATCAAGAAAGCTCACCAGCGTCTTTTCTTTCTGAGGACTCTGAGGAAGAACCACCTGTCCTCAGACATCCTGGTGAACTTTTACCGCTGCACCATTGAGAGCATCCTGACCAACTGCATCACAGTCTGGTACGTACGGGAGCTGCTCTGCCTCAGACCGGAAGGCGCTGCAGAGGGTGGTGAAAGCCGCCCAACACATCACCGGATCACCACTTCCTGCCATAAAGGACATCTACAGGAAGCGGTGTCTGAAAAGGGCTGGAAAAATCATAAAAGACTTCAGCCACCCAGCACACAGACTCTTCACCCTCCTGCCCTCTGGGAGGCGCTACAGCAGCTTCCGGACTAAAACCACCAGGTACCGGAACAGCTTCTTCCCCACAGCTGTCACACTCCTTAACTCTGCCTCCTGACATCTGAATAACAACAACGGTCTGTATTCTCATACACACAACAACAGCACATGGACTGTAACACCACCACCTGCACTTTCATCCGTTAGCCCACTACTGTACAAACTGTACACATAATATACTATCTACTGTTCATAAGTACTCACATACTTATATATATATATATATATATATTTCTTTTATATAGCTGTTTATACCCCTTCATATTATAACCTGTTCACAGTCTGTACACTCACAACCTGTATATATTTATACCTATAGCATATTCAAAGCAACTTACTGTATATTGTACTATATATATATCTACCAATTTATTTTTCTTGCTAAGCACTTATAGATGGATGCAAACTGCATTTCGTTGCTTTGTACCTGTGACATGTGCAATGACAATAAAGTTGAATTCTATTCTATTCTATGTTTTATTTTTCAAAATAAAAGTCTGCTATGGAGCTCGGTAGGCACACGCTACATGTTAGCTTGCAAGCTAACAACTGGAGTACACATAAGGAGGCACATAACACTGCTGACAGCACACTAAATCATTAATTAACATAAAAATATAGATTTTTTTGTAAACCTCGAGACTTAAATATGTGAAGATGTTAAAGGTCTAATAAATATTAATTGGAAAATAAAGAGCGTTACCTTTAGCAGCGGTAAAAGGAAGTGACGTAAATTATGACAAGTTGCTTCTACCGATTACAACAGCGACACCTCGAGGCTGCGGATAGTATTAATGAAATTCCATTCAATTACAGCAAGACAATAAGCAAGACCCTCAAACTATTATATTAAACACAAACATGGTTTAAAATGTTTTGAACTCTTTATTTTGTTGTTGTTTTCAGATTATTCCTGTCAAACCAAAATGTCCACCATAATAGTGATGCCGCAGAGGTTAGAGAAGATGAGCCTGTGAGTGGAAGGTCGCAATCAAAATGTAGGTGAGAAAAGTGAAGCACCAACACATGCCTCCACCCTCATTTGCCCCACTCTAGGCCCTTCAGCAAGGCCATTAACCCCCACCATCTGCTCCCCCAGGCGCCCTACAGCAGCTCTCTGCTCCACACACAGGGCTGTGGAAGCTCAGTGGTTGCGTGAGGAAGGGCATCCGGAGTAAAAACAATTGCCAAGTCTTTGTGTGAATTAGTTTGCTGTGGTCAACCCTGAGGAAGAGAGCAGCTAAAAATAAAATTAATAAATAAAAATTAACATAATTGTATGAATACTGAGCAAGCGTTTACATTAATTACAATATCTCAGGTTTATGTTTGTGTTGTTTACATGACTCTTTACCATGTTCATGGGTCATTTAAAAAGGGAAAAGGGTACCCAGATTATCCTAATTTCTTTCCTTCTTGCTGTTGTATTTTCCTTTTATTGTAACATTTTTTGAAGCGTGAATTCGATAGAAATTTTATTGTGGAAATAGCCATTTGAAAGTGATGTAGTAAGATAAAAAAAAGCAACAATTTAAAGGTTAAACTCTAAATATCCTGACTCAATTTATTATTTCAAACTTATCTTAGAATGAAGAGCAGCATTAGTGCAGTTAATATTGGACCTAATGCCTTTAATCTTTTTTTTAACTTTACTTTCAGTATTTAAACATTATTTTTAACATTTTCACATCATCCAAAATATTACACTAATGTGGAAAATAGCTCATCATTGTATAATTTTCTTTCTCCATGCCCCTTACACCTCTCACCTTTTCCTAACTCTGCACATTTATTTCCACCCATATGTCCAGTAATCAAATAATTTTGGGAGGAATCTGTATCTCAAACAGCAGTTGGTGCAGCTCCAAACCCTGCAGCATAAGGGGCCCTGATGAGTGTAATCAGCACCGGGCTGAATTGGACCGAACACATGGAGAGTCTTTCGCAGTTGGTGCTTAATCATGATGCTTGATCACCAGCTCTGCAAGCTGCTCCCACAGCAGAGCAGGAGCTGCTGCAGCTGACTGAGTATGTGGCTTCATTATAGTTTATGTACTAGTAAACAGATTATTTCCCTCAAGAGAAAACAGACTGGTGTTTTTTTTTTTTTGGTTATATTTAAACCAAAATCTTAATTGGGAAGAACTGGTCATTT